TGTATATAATTGTGTATATAATTGTGTATATAATTGTGTATATAATTGTGTATATAATTGTGTATATAATTGTGTATATAATTGTGTATATAATTGTGTATATAATTGTGTATATAATTCATGTCTCAATAGCCCGGCTGTAATCCGAACCCCCATTTTTGAGACAATGACCGGTGACTCAAACTTGTTGGCACTCCTGGAGAAGACGTGTCGCGACACATATCCGTTGCAACGAATCGGTGAACCCGAGGACGTGGCCGAAGCCGTCGTATTTCTGGCCTCACCTACCAGTGCCTCATTCATTACGGGACTCATTATGCCGGTGGACGGCGGATCTCTTAGAGCACCGGCACTTAAAGGCGACTATCAAAAACAGTAGTACTACCTGTCCTTATGACAGGTACTCTCATGCCTGTGGACGGCGGCAATCTTGTGTCCACAGCCCCGACACTCTAATGACACTATTTTATCATTAAATAAATACTAAACCTATGATTAGTAAACCTAATATTGCCGTATATTAAAATAAAATATTTAAATTATTTTGAAGTATGTTATTTTTCATCACATACTGTATAATTAAGATAAAAACAAGTTCAAGGTGAATTGATAAAATAAATCTGGATTTAAATAAACTTCCCTATATAAGAGATGATTTATTAAAAAGGGTACAATGAAAACCCATTTAAAGCTTTACAGAGTTTAAAATCTTATCTTGCTCACACATTACAAATATATTACTTTGATGACTAAACTGCGATTGACAAGCTTTTGCTTATAATTGGCAATTATTAATTGCTAAGCACTCAATGAATTTTCATTGTACCCTTTTAATAAATCCTTATTCATATATCATATATATCATATATTACTAAATATTGTAAATGAATCGTCAAATAAACGGTTACTTATTGAGTGCTGAATAAATACTGGATTTAAGTAAAACGCCGACAGATTTCTGTGTCTAGTTTACATGACTACGGCATATAAAAATTTATCAGGGTCTCCCGAGTACATGTAGTTTACTATATATTGTTAATTGTCTATTCATTATTCTGTAAATATATGCTTATTATGAAACGTTAGTCTAACGTATAGATAACACAATTTTGGGTAACAAACTCCTAGATTATATTTGTTACCCATTGGAATTCATGCACAGAATTGTACATGTTTATTTGTCTTAATGAAACACTTATGCTTACTTGTCTGATTAGATTATTTATACAACTAATAAAAACCCATATAATCTATTAGTATATAAAATTATGAAGTTTGTATTCAATATTATTCTGCAGTTATATAACTTTTTCTTTGAATAATAAAACAAGTTTTCATTAAACAGGTTAAATTTTATTTAATATAATATTTAAAAATGACATTTTTATCGTTAATATTATACGTGTTTATTCCTGTATTTACAATATCGTATTGGTATGTATTTATCAACAATTTAATAATTAACCAATATAACTTAATAAATTAAATCACCACCAAAATAGGCTCTTTAAGTATTATAGCCGCAATTTTAGCTACTGGGCCAAATTGGGCATAAAAGGTCCCACTCCTATTGTAGGCTTTGGCAACGTGTTGACCAAGTTCATTTGGGAGAAAACGGAGGTCGAGGTGTACTGGATCTCAAAATATGGCAAACTTTATGGGTAGACATAACTGAATCAAATAATTATACAAAACAAGTAATCAATTGATGTAATCCTCTAAAGTCTATACGACGGCAACCAACCGGTGCTATCGGTAGGCGATCCCAAACTCCTGAAGGACGTGTTGGTCAGAGACTTTCACATCTTCGACGACCGGATCAACAACCGGTTCAGTCACCCGTTGCTGAGCCACGACATCAACGTCGCCGTCGGAAACGAGTGGAAACGGCAACGATCTGTCATTAGCCCGATCTTCACGTCCGGCAAAATGCGAAGAATGTATCCATTGATCCGGGAATGTGTCACCGAATTGCTGGATGTCATGCAGACCTACGCGGCCACCGGTCTCGAGGTCGACATGAAGAGGTTGTTCAGCAACTATACCATTGACGTGATATCCATG